TTAAAATCAAACCACAGCAGCAGGATGGGACAGCATCACAGGCCCCAGCGGCCCGGCGCTCATCGCCGGGGCCTGTCCCCCTGCCAGGTCCGAGGCTGCAGCCAGCGGCCAGTCCTCACAACGTCCCGTGGCCCAGTGTGTGCAGACAAAGCGGCGCTGCGTGCCCTGCGTGGGGGGCGGGCGAGGCCCCAGCTCAGATGGGCTTGTACAGTAGCGTGGTGACGTACTTCTTCTTGTAGCGGTGCGTGGCACTGCCTCGCGGGCCTGCCCTTACCTTGATGGAGAGCGCGTAGAGGTGATTGAGCATGACATGGTTGGGTTCGGGCAGCAGTGCTGGGTCACACTAGGAGGAGAGGAGTGTCACAGGGGAACAGCAGAGCCCTGACCCCCACTTCCCCCGCCAGCCATCACAGGGAGCTGCCACCTCAGGCAATCCGAGCTGCTGGCACCTCTGGCTGCTCTGAACAGTAGCAGAGCCCAGCTCAGCACCTGGCAGAGCAAGGGGCCAAACCAGCGCAGTCAATGGGAAAAGCGATGCTTTTCATAGGAAACAGCAAGGTCCCCCCAGCCAAGGGGAGACCAGGCTCCCTACGGATAGGGCTCCCCTTCCAACCCCAGCGTGGCTCTCCATATGCAGGCAGTGTGCTGGTACCCACCGAGATGTTGGTGTCCTTGTTGAGAATAACCTGAAGGAGGTGAGGTGGGAGGATGGGTGGGGATTTGAAGCGCTCCTCAGGCCGGTATACGTACATCTCTTGGCCGTAAGGACCAGGGGGTGAGCTTGATAAGTCTAAAGAGAAGAGATGGGAGGAGCTGTGAAATGGCTAAAGCAGGACTGGCGAGTGCAGAGCGGCTCTGAAGACACTGAGAAGGACCCAGCAGGCTCTTTTTTCAGGCACAAACATCATCATCACAAACATGAGCCACGGCCATGGCAACAGCTCAGCCTTTTCACAGCAGCACAAGCAGCCAGGTGAGCCCTGGGCGTCTCCAAGCAGGGCTGTAAGCTGGTACGTGCGCTGACACAACACAAGCACCCCGTGGTATCTGCCCCAAGGCGCATGGCTCTCAGCGCAGCAGGGTCCCTCTCCCTGCAGCAAGCAGCCGGCTTCAGCTGTACCCTCTGCAGCAGGGGCACAGCCAGCCGCAAGCCTGCCAGCTCTCCGTGCCGCAGGACTGCCTGACAAGCAGGTCCCAGAAAGGGCAGATGGAAAGTCCAGATTGAGCAGCTGCTCGGCCCGTGGGAGCTTGCTGTCACTGGGAGCTGGACTGGCTGTATCTCCCAGCCACATCTGACCTGATTGTTTTGGAACTGACTGCCAGCATCCGGAAAGGCTCCACCGCCCTGGAGCTCCTGCTGCTTGCTGGCTTCTTTTCAGCGAAGCATCTCCTGCCCAGGCTGGGCAAGGATGTGGAGCTGAGGCTGTACCTGAGACGGGATTTGTACCAGGGACAGCAGGCCACACTCAGGGCGCCCTGCAACGAAACACGACGGAGCTACCTGCTAGCACTGCACACCGAGCCAACACTGCCAGCGTCCGTGCGGTAACCTAACCTGCTGCTGTAACACAAGCGGAGACGGAGGTTGCCTCTGTGTTACTGCTCGTACAAATTACCTTGGCGTGAAAGTGAAGAGCGGCTGCTGAAAATAACCCGGATGCTGCTCTCGCCCTAGCTTGTACCCTAGATCAGATGACTTACTCACAGATGAGCAGACAGAAAGGGGTGATCTTCTCCATGTTCATGAGTTTGAAACGGCTGCCTCAGCCGTGCATGGGCACCGACCCTGCTCTGGGACAGTGCTAGCACGGGACAAGTTACACCAGCACAGCCCCTCCACAGAGACGAGGCCTCAGCTGTGGGCTGCTGAGGACATGCTGAGAAACACTACTCTTGCAAGGTGTGGGCCCACACCTCTGCTCAGGGGGTCTGTTGACCCCCAGAGCAGCCAGTCTCAGCGCAGAGGACATGGAAAATAGCACATGCAAAGCCAGAACGCCACAAAAACTCACCCCGACCTGAGGTTTCGGAGCTCTCCAGGGAATCCACCTTCAAAGCATCGAACACCTCAAAGTCAGACTTCTTGACATGAATCAGGTTATTAATCGTCCCCATCTGGCTGGTGACCACAGGCTGGAGAGAACAGAGGTAAGAGTCTTCCTACATTCACCTCCAATCGAAGCACATGGAATGCTTCCTAGATCCTCCCAGCCCAAGCTGTCTTTGCTGTGCCATCAACTGAGAGCACAGGTGGCCACTGTCTGCTCTATGCTTGCAGAGCTCTGCTGCTTACCCTGGGATGATTTCCCTTTACTCCCAGGCTGCTACATCACCTCCTGTTTTCATTGTCCCTCTGGCTCCATGCCGATGGGTAAGTGTCCTCTCCTCCCCGTGATGCTACCATGTGATTCAGTTTGGAGGAGAACCTGCAAATGAGTGCTAACCCCACAGCCCATCTTCCCACGTAGCCAATTCGGAACAGGGCTTGCAGGCCTTCTGGTGTTTCCCTGCCCCTCAGCACCTCCCAGACACTCCCCCCCCCAGCATGTCAAAGCCCAGAGGAACCAGCCTCTGAAAGGACTCTTGCGACGGAGCTGCCCCTTTCGTTTTGGCAAATACCCTCTTCTCCTCCTGTTCCCCCTCTGCTACAGTCACATTACGCCTAGACCCCTGAAGAAGACAAGATCTGGATGCATAAAGCTTTGAGCGTTACCTCAGACGGGTCGTGGACCCACTGGCCATCCACAAAGAACTTGTACTGGTGCTCTCCTTCGGGGAGGTCCAGGATAGCGACAAAGTCGTTGTGGCTGTGCAGAGAGAACAGACGTGCAACAGCATTACCCCACTGATGCTCTGGGTGCTGCTCTTCCCCTGGGTGCTGGAAAACAGCCCCTTCTCACACATTGCCCATCCCCTCTACCCCAACACCTTCAAGCAGGGTGAGGCTTGCTCATCGTCAGCAATCTGAGGCACGGACACAACAGGCACCAGCGTGGCTCAAACCCCCAGGAGCCCAGCAGCAAGGAGTGCAGGAGGCCAGCCAGCCCCACATGACCCGGGAGAGTCGACATGACTGTGCAAGAGAGTGCAGAGAACGCGCGGGCGAAGGATCTATAACCCTGCGCTGGGGCTGCAGGACGCAGTCAGCAAGTGCAGCAGCTCTGTTAAGCCTGCAACTGAGATAAACCCACTCCAAATGATTTGCTGGGATCACGCCCAGAGTCCTATGCACTGTTTCCACAGAAATCACAGATGTATTGCAGAACAGCGAGAACACAACTAGGGCAGGAAAACACGCGAGGGACAAACAAACAACCCCGCTGGCACCAACACAACTAACCATGGGGTAAGGCCAAGGGAAGAGCTGACAGCTTCCAGGGGCCTGCTGCATACCTGGGCAGGGCTCTGCTGCCAGGACTAGCTGCTGTGTGAGATCCAGCTGGGCAAGCAAAGTGGCCTGTCCTGTCCCTCTGCTTCACGGCTTCCCGTGACCACAGCAGCTGGCTACGTGTTTGTGCTCAGACCCTCCAACTGGGGTGAACTAAGTAAAGCCAGTTAAGCAAAGGGAACAGCAACCAGCACAGAAACGGGAAAACACCCCCTGTGATCACAGAATCACAGAATGGTAGGGGTTGGAAGGGACCTCTGTGGGTCATCTAGTCCAACACCCCTGCCGAAGCAGGGTCACCTACAGCAGGCTGCACAGGACCTTGTCCAGGCAGGGCTTGAATATCTCCAGAGAAGGAGACTCCACAACCTCCCTGGGCAG